GTGCCGCAGCCTCTCCTGGGCAGCACGGCGCGCGCGCACGGGACGCAGGGGCGACATCCAGCCCTCAGGCCCGCGCAGCCCAGCCGGCCAGTGTCTTTCCAGCCGTGATCTGGCGTAGGGACTCGCAGCGCCAAGACCCCGCCGCTAACGGCACAAAACGAAAATGGACCCCCGAAGGTCGCCGTGCGAGCGGACGCTGGGTCCCCGCACAGAGCCGGGAGGGTCGCCTCCACTCGCACCATCCAAACCCTGGCGGCCCGGGGGAAACGGGAAAGTCGTTGCTAACGGAACCGCACCAGGCCCGAGACAGGCGGTCCGTTCGCCCACGCTGGGGTCACGGCTCCCAGCCGGCAGCGATTAACAGTAGCGGCCGCCACTTACGAATCAGTGTGACACCGCCCAAGAGACTAGAGGCGTCAACGGCCAGCGTCTTACTCAGCGCCTGCTCCTCGCAGGCGCGGAGTCCGCCGCGATCTCACTGAATCCCCCCAGCAGGGCCATGGGCGGTGGGCTTTTCGTAGCAGGGGGGACGGTTTGGGCCCCGCGTGTCCCGTGAAGGCGGCGCTTCTGCCCGCTGCGCCTCGGGAGCGCACACAGGTCAAGGCCCTGACCGTGGCCCACGCGCCCTGGGTTCGGGGCTCTGAGCCGGCCACGTCGCTCTTCTCCACGAGACAGCAGCGGCACGTGGGCTCGGTCGTGGGGTCCGGGTGGGAGTTCGAGGCTGAGGTGGCCTTCCGGGAAACGCGGGGCCGGGAGGCCCGAACCGTCCGCGGGCCCCAACCCTGCAGAGGGCAGTGCCGCGGGCTGGGAGGGGACAGGGAACTGCCCGCCTGGCAGCGCGCGAGGCCGGCCACCTCGCTTGGGGCCCCCGGCGGGTCTCGCCAACCGCGCCAGCAGAGCAGATTCGCGCTGGCCCCTCGGCGCGCGGGCTACGAGGTCCAGCGTCCTCCACCCGTCTGCGTCACAGGGAACGTACCCCCCCGCCCCGATTGTTCGCGGTGCTCCCCGAAACCTGAGCCCGGGCCGGCGCTCTGGCCGTGTCCCCACGACGGTGCCAACCGGCTCCCCGCGCCCGCACACCTGGGGGCTCTTCGCCGAACGGGACGCACAGAACGTGCCGAGCGGATCCTCAAATCTGCATTCTTTCGAGCGATAAAATATGTTCTCGTATTTTTTCCCGATTCCCCATTAAAACCTTTGCCTAACTAAACTCCCATCCAACGGGATTTATTTCGTCCCGGGGGAGATAAATCAGGGGGCAAATTTACAGCCGGGGAGGCACCTGCCGCGCTAATGGGCCCTTCATGGAGTGCGCGGCCGGCGGGGGCGCGCAGACGGGCGGGGCGCTGGCCAATGGCCGGGCCGCGGGCGCCCGCAGCCAATCAGCGCGCGCGCCGCTCGGGGGCCCCCGCGGTTATCAGCGCGTCCGGCCCGCGCGGC